AGAGAGAGAGAGAGAGAGAGAGAGAGAGAGAGAGAGAGAGAGAGAGAGAGATGAGAGAAAACCAGCGGAGCAAATTTCAGGAAAAACACATTTTTATATTTTACTCTAAAGGTTATGGCTGTTATTCACTTGATTTAACCCCCAAAATGATCGAATATGTATTCCAAGTGCGAGAGAGTTTATCCACTTTCGATTTTTTCGTTCGTTCGTTTTTTACCTCTCTCTTCACCCTGAATGATAAAGTTGGAAATTTACGTGAGGTTATTTGCAGCAATTCATTTGGTGGCGTTTGATTTTTTCACCGTTCGCAATTCGGGGGAAAAAAACTTGCAATGCAATTTGATGCTCTGAGAAAATTAGCTACAATTCATGCATGCACAAAAACTCGATTGTTTAACATGAAGCAAGCGCTTGTGTGAAGGTGGTTTTCGTTTCATTTGGTTTGGTGGTGGTTAGAAATTTACGGAAAAAGTCAGATGTTGAAATGTGAACGACACACTGGGAACGAAAAAAACAATCCCGAACATGTTGCCCAAAACAAAAAACGGTTTTTCACCAAAAGTCAAGGAAACAACCAGACCACTGTGTGCTATTTGTCACGATTGAATTCGTACACGGAATAATAAACAGTAATTTGTTGCGCTCTCTGTCGATCTCTCGATTTTATTTCATTCATTTCCTTACCTTCTTTTTTTTTCACCAACCCACTCCCGAAGCAATATTTTCTCTCAATCGCTTTTCAGCTCGGTTCATCTCATTTTGGCTGTCGCTGTTTTTGTTGTTGTTGCTGTTGCGAGAAATCGAACGGTGACTTGTGCATACAAATTGCGTTCGGCGCCTTTGTTCATGCACCCTCATCAGAGATATTTTTCAATTTCATGCGACGCTGTGTTTTAGCCAATGCTTACCGACGACGATGACGACGGCGGTGGCATTATAACGGAATATAGATAATCCCTCGCAAGATTTAGCATCCGCACAATAAAATTGTTGTGAAACAAGTATATATATATATAGAAAATGGATTTTTGGGAAGCCCATTGCACAGTACATCAGCATCACAGAGAAGCATGCGTTTCTGTTGATGTCGTTGTTGTTAAACACATCCACGATTCCGCAGCCAAAAAAAAAATACGCTGATGAACACACACAGACACGCTCATCGTAAACAGAAAATGCTCACGGCACCTATCTATAGATACATACATATATACGCTTTGTCTCGTTTGTTTATTTTACAAAAACAAATGAACTTTTGATCAGAGAGATTTGTTTGCCAATTTTATATATGAGTCTACTGTCCTCTCTCACTCCATTCTCCCTCTATTTAACTCATACTGCCGATGGCCAATGAATCCAGGCCCAAATTCAATCCATGTGCATTGTCTATGTCTAAGGAATTGGATTGGAACCGGTGTGGTAAAAGCCATAACTATTGCTGATAAAGCAATTCCGTTGTATGTTCCAGCTGGTTGGTGAATGGGATTCGAATCGGTGTTCGAAATCAAAGTTGATTGTTCCGTATGATATTTTGGTCATAAAGTAGTGGCTGGGTAACCGATGAATTGCTGTACAACTGAGATGCGATGTGGTCGACAAGCTAAATATCACCACTCCGAAACGATTGCTGCTGCTGCTGCTGCTGCTGCTGCTCCTGCTGGAGTGCTTAGGATTTTTCCATGTGGACAATTTTATTTCTTCTCCCAACATTCTTCGGTTGTGTTGAGCTGTGATTTGCGTTCACTGTATACACCTCTTTCCATAAATGCGGATTTTCAGAACATACACTATATATATATATGCATACGTACCTACTTCGGTCCATTGAGCATACAAAAAGCATTCAAAATGCAATTCAGAACTTCCAATCGAGACAAAGAGAAACGACAGAGATAATAAAATCGTATGTGTGCACACGGGAGATTTATGAGTTTATTTTACGACGCACC